TTTAGGTAGGTTATCGATGATGTGACTTGTTATGATTCTGAACTTTGTTTATGTCCTTCATGAGTTTTTGAGAGGATCTCTAAAAGTCGGATCTTCAGTGACTCAAGTTCCATAATTCAATATAATAATTCTTTTAAGTCGATCATTTTGTGTAGCATCAAAAGTGGACTATATTTTAAAATCATTAGGCTTCACCTTCATCATCGATAACCTATAAAAATATATTTTTCGGCAATTTACAAACGTTTTGTAACTAGTGAATGTTCCTGCGCTAGCACGGGAAATAAAAGTACTATACTCTTTGAGAGAAGGAAATTTTTTATTTCATGTTACGGTTGATGTCTTCATCTGCCGCTGGACACCGTAACTGGCATTGTACATAACCTTAGATGAAGATTTATCGCAAACATCACATCATCTACCTCATTTGAAAGTATGTTCGATTCTAGTAGTGAAATGGGTCCTTTTTCCACGTTTTTTTGGAAGCCAAATGATAAAGTCACAAGCAATGCAAAAGAAGTCTACGTCAAAAGTTGCAAACCTACTAGTTAAAAACCTACTCTCTAAAAATACTCTCTAAAAAAAGTTTCAGTCGATAGGGACTTCCAAAAAAAAGTTATAAGAGTTTTTCGAAAGGTCAGAAATTTTAGAAGTTTTTGGAGGGTCTAAGTATTTCGCAGTTTTCTCCCCGAAGAAAAGAAATTTTTTGAACTTCTAAGGTCATATTCGTGATCAGCATGAAATTCTGCATCGAATGGTATGTTTTTTATTGAAAAACAAAATTCACTATAATTTTGCTTTGTGTGCACCTTACTTAAAATAGCTTTATCGATTAACATTCATTAAAAGCCAAAACAAATTTTGCAGTATTAATTAGGATTTCCAGAGATCGAAACAGATAATTGTACTGTTGACTTTTAACATCAACGAACGACGTTGCAAAAGCTCAGCTTATGTTTTTCTTATGGAGTTTGTCCTGTTCTATTCAACCATGTCAAAAAGAAGGAAAAAAAAAGTTGCTCAAATTTCGCATTGCTGATACCTTAACTATAGAGACTTGTATAAACGGAAAAACGACTGAATTCTTCTTAAAGATGATTCCCACCATTCTTTACTGAACCGACTGAGAAACTGAAATCTACATTTCAGCAGAGATGCAATGACGACAAATTTGATGTATATATATATGTATTGCATTTTTCAATTTAAAGTTCGATTCAATGGTGGCAAATGCACTCACTATTCAGTTTAGCTTTGTTTCACGTTTCTGACGATTTTGGAACAAACACTCGAGGGCCATAAGTAATTTGAAACTCCTTTAAGTAAGCCGTATTATTGTTTGTCGCATCTAGTTTATTTACGAAAGATTTTAGATATACAGGTTAGCTATTTTTGAAACAATTTGACCCCAAGTGCCCGTTTGATACTACAAAACCCCGAAGTTGTTGACCTCTCCCGAACCTCTTGGCAATGTTTCAAAACATTTTTAGTGACATATTCTTATTCAGAATTGAACACTCTTTTTAATTGAGATAGTTCTTGATGTTTGTGATTCATACTCATAAAGTATGCTGCATTTGCCAAAGAATTGCACTGACTATTTATTTAAAACTTGTATTTATTATTATCGTTCTAGTATCATTAAAAGTAATGAGCTGTTATACACGTGAATTCTACTTGTTACTTAAAAATTTACCAATATTAAAATCATTTACTTGCATGTATCAAATGTGCTGTAGAGAAAATGAAATAGTGGATTATAAACATTTAAATTTGATCGAATTAAATTTAGAAATTATGTGGTTGTCATTTAAACATTTGAAAACTATATTATTTAGTTTACCAAAATTAAAATTATTTAAGATTGTTGCATGTCACCTATTCAGAGCAGAAAAAGATTTTATAATGTTACAAAATTGGTATGAATTATTTAAAGAAAATGATGTATTATTAAAAACTTTAAAAAAATTTCAATGTAATATAAATGTATCTCCAAAAGATCAGTATAGATTCACAGCCGAAGAAAATGAACAATTTAATATGTTAATTGAAAATAATAATAATAAATTTATATCAGAAATCAAATTTATATATACTGATGGTATTTTATGTCGTTTATACACAGACTGATTAGTTTTGTTGTAAGAAAAAGACAGACACAGAAAATGTTCCAGGTGGAAAAGAATGGGCAATAAATGATCCATCAATGGTTAATTTATGATCTGCCTAAAAAGTGGTCTATACACAGGCGATTAGTGATGTAAAAACGGCATCGTTTATGAACCGTTTTTAAAACTTATTTTTTATGGTCTGAAACTCGCCAATAAGCGACCAGTTAATAGTCTATAAATGGACCCTTAATGACACTGTCAACTGACCGTTTTTAGATTTCATCGTTTATTGACCATTTACAGGCCTTAAAAACTAGACATTTAATAGGCTGCAAACATACGGTTAATTGTCTATTGAATCATAATGCTCAAGTGTATTTTGAACATTAGAAGCTGAAGTCAACACATGTTTGCACAGTTTGAGCGTGAATACGTAATTCCGCAATATTTGAAATATTTTCTTTAAAGAAGAACTATCAGCTGGATTGACTGAATGGTAACAGTGACAGACTGCTGTTTTATATAACGAAGGCTCAGAGATACATACTTTCGGCATTGCTACTATTCTTCTTTTCTTTCGTTAACAGACTGTTTATTGACTTCGCATGGGGATGTAGCTCATATGGTAGAGCGCTCGCTTAGCATGCGAGAGGTACCGAGATCGATACTCGGCATCTCCACTCTCCTTTTAATTTTTAAAGGGAGCACTAGTGTAAGAAAGGAAAACATAATATACGATAGTCGTAACGGATTAGTAGAATCAGAATTTCAAGTAATAGAGGTTAATCAAATGAAATTATTGTTAATTGTAGTTTATAGAAGTGAAACTTCCTGGTCTTTCCAACCTTTTCCACCGTAAAATTTTATTTGACATCTTGCAAAAGTATTGACTGAATTACGAAGAAAACATTTTTTCAAAGAAAAGCTTCGAGTGTAAGAATAAAAGTTATATCATTCGGTAGCTGAACTCTTTGACCACATTCGGATAACAAATGACTTTCAGTAGGTATACTGCACAAGTGAGTGTGTGGGATGTCGGGGTTGAGAGTGAGCCACCGTACAGTATTTCCTGGAGCCATATCGGGAACAGATGCGCCTTTTTGAAACAATAGTTCTTATAGTTAAATGAAGAAATATTAATTGAAGTAATGATGCAATCATTACATTTTTATTCTTGTAATAACCAGCAAATAATCGTCTTCTTGATAATCGTTTTAATTTTGATAAGTTTCCAGTAATCACATATTCTGCTTGATGACAGTTAATATCTTCTAACACTAAAGATGTAAGACAATCAAATCCAGTAAAGAAAATATGCTTTAAATCAACTTGTCGTCCTAAAAATTTTAAGGTGACTACTTTATGTTTAATTAATGGCATATATTTATCCAAAAATTATGAAATTTTATTGGTGAATATTTTGTAAAACTAAAATGTGGTTTATTCTTAATTATTATATTATTTTCAATACGCGTATACATTTTTAATAGTTTGAAAATTCAGCATATTTCTAAGATTAAGATACACACTTCCATATTTGTTCTACAAAAATAGTTTCTAAAACGGATACAAGCGAAATATCAAGAATATTCTATATATCAGAGAAGTGCAATGTTCATTGTCTATACTACCGAAAGGATGCTCCCAGACGATTCATCCGAATTTGATTATAGCATAGATTTTTAGGAATTATTCTGATGCCCACGAGCCTCATTTTAGAGCTTGAAAAACCGAGTTTCGACGATTGAGAGTCCACGTTATACTTTTCATCTGGCACATCTAGATACATGTAACTCTTAGAGTACATCGAATTCTTTATGGAAAAAAATTTTGAGATCTGAAGAATATTGTTTCACAGAGCTAAACAGAAACATCGTCTGATTTCGTGGAGAACTCGAAACTATTTTAGGGGTGATACTTAGAAACATTTAAATGAAAAGTATAACGTGGATCATCAAAAATCGGCTTTTAAGCTTGAAAGTGAGGTTCATGGTCATCAAAGCCACTCCTAAAAGTCTATGCTTTAATCAAATTAGGATGAATTATTTGACTTCTCACGAGGGAACCTCTCGAACTGTTACCTCGCCTTTTCAGCCAAACTCAGTGGGCTATAGGTATCCAACCACGCTGATTTCGAATATGAACATGAGAGCTGCTCTAAGGTCTTCGAAGGTCCGGTGAAAACCAGTTTTTCAGAAACTCTGAAAAATAACCAACACTTTTCTTAACGAGCCATGATGGTAGTGCGCACATTTCTGATTAAAATGAGACATCTCCCAACTCTACATGACTTTTCTTTGCTAAGTTATGGAATTTACAACAAAGTCCTAAAATAATCTCTTCTTATTTCTGTAGCTTTGAGCTGACAATGAACATTTAGGGCTTTTCTTGTAAATTCTATAACTTTGCAAAGAAAGGTCAAGTAGAGGTGGGAGATGTCTCTTTTTAATCAGAAATGTGCACGCTGCACTCATGGTTCACTAAAAGGGTTTTGGTTATTTTTCAGACTTTCTGAAAAGCTGATTTTCGAAAACCTAAGGGCGGCTCTCATGTTCATATTCGGAATTAGCGTGGTCGAATACCTATAACCCACTGGGTTTGGCTGAAAAGGCGAGGTAACGGTTCGAGGGAGGAGGGGAGGGAGAACGAAGCTAGGGGTGGATGAATAATTTTGGCAGCCACTGTATACAGCATTGAAAAATATTTTTGTCAGGCTTTTATCCAGAATGACATCAGCGCGCTCAAAAAAGTTACTTCAATGTACTGACTGACTCAGTTAAATGAGACAAGCATAGAAGTCTAAAAACTACAGAACTGATCTGCAGTACCCTCATGGTGGCTTATATCTGTACCTATCGCATATAATCGAATTCTTTCTGAGCACCAGAGATGCAACCGGTATCGGTACGAATTATAACGCCGACCGGTATACCGGCATTAGTATGAAGTATAATCGGTTGGCCGATACTGCTGGTATTTTGCGGTATGATAAAATTTTTTTCAAACAACATCGCGTTAAGTCAGCTCATCTGTAACATATTTCTTCCACTAAAATTTCATTCCAATTACTAAAGCTTTCTCGGCTTATATAAACTTCTTAATTTAAAAGATTGAATTGTATTGCTGTTTTCGTTAAAAAAAAGTGTGTGAAAAATCAGCTGTACATAATCAAAGCGAAAAGATTAATCTATCACTTTGATAACATAAAATAAAGCTCACAATGAAGAAAACCAAGGAAAAAGTATTTTTGTTTAGGCAAATATGATCGAGACAAGCCGGTAGCGACCGGTCACCGGTATACCGGACGGTACCCTTGCTCAAATTTATCCATGTGTTTAATTCGAGTTTTATCGCTGAAGCAACGTTCACGAAATTGATTCATAAGATCTCATCTTGATTATGGATTTTCCTCAAGTTTAATGATCAATTCTTTGAAAAGCTGGAACCATATAAAGCGATTCTTCTCCCCTTCCTCCTTGTGACCTATAACGCGCAGATGTTTTTGATTCGGATTACAAAAACTCCATGGCAAACGGGCACTATGTCGATGTAAACGAATTGATCGTTGGAGTCTTAATCGAAGTTCTCTTGATCGAGTAAATATGCCAATCACTTTGTCACATTTGTTTGTTTCAATGTCTGCGAAAGTATTCACTTTGTTCGAGAAGAGAAAAATTTCACGAATATAAGGATTGGTATGTATCTGCTTGAGAAAAGTCAAAGAACACGAGTTCCGAATGATCAAAAGGAAAGTCTCTTCTTAGATAAATGTGTTCGACTGTTGTCGAAGAAACGTTAAAAAAGCATTTTTCTTTCGGAAGAATTTAGTAGTGTCCGAATATACGTTACACCAAGAGAGCTGTTGTTCGCGCTTAGCCAACCACAAGATATAGTCTTTTTGTCTGATCAAGTCTATCACGCATCTTCTATGGTGTGGTGAACATTACTTACAATTCGAAATAGCTAATCCATTTTCGGTTAATAATGGATTGGGTGCTGTGCACTGGTAAATAAATGAATACTGTTAGTTAAGTAACAACGTTTGTCGTCTTTCTCTTCGCTCAGGAGTATGACTAATTTCACAATCCTTAATAAAATTGTTTGTCGTAATTTTATGTATGCGTCAGAGAGAAAATTACAACTTAAAATTCCCCTAAACAACAATAAATACATCATTATTTCTGTTTCTTCTTAGTAATACTTAAAATAAACAATGGTACAATATTGTGCTCTATATTAGAAGAGCCATCGCAATTTAATTTTTTGGAATTTATTGGATTTATCTAAAGCAATTGAATTTAAGCTAGATTTCTCGTCCTTGGTCTCATCTTCGTCCTCACTCTCAACTAGGTCCCCACTTTTGATCTCGTTTTCATCTTTAGTGTCATCCTCATTCTTTTCAGTTTATTTAGATTCCTCTAAATAGTAAATTAAAATTTGAATTTCTCCTATGATATATGTGTTATGTCTCAATAAAGAGGAAAATCTAGAAGGAATTGGAAATATATGTTGTAGTAATACGTTTGAAATCGATGATCTGTCCTACAGGTAAATTTACTCATTTTATTCTTTACCAGTGGCGGATCCAGCCCGCGAGCGGTACAAGCAGCCGCCCGTACCTTTTAACCAACAAACTGTTTTTTCCCAGCAGAATTCTCTTAAAATAATTTGTTTCTATGACGATGGCACGTATTTCGCACTTTTATCGTATACCGCCCGTACCAAAGAAAAATTCTGGATCTGCCACTGTTCTTTACTAACATAGATTTTATAGAAAATCAAATGCCATTCTGTGTAACGTTAATTTAATGTATTATCCAAAATGGATACATCGAAAGGTGCACAAAACATCATAATGTCTCGTTGTATAAAATATATGGACGGTGTTGAAAACATTCCCGAATTAATTTTATTTAAAAAGAACAAAACGTGCTATAATTATAAATATATGTTCTCTTCTCATTTTTGGATGAAGCTCTTTACCAAAATATTTCCCTAATGTGCTTCGATTATTGTGTTATACATCGGCACGGATTCTTTCAGATTTATTTGTTTAGAATCTCGGAAAAATTAATATAAAACTTTGTTAATCAACTTTTTTGTTTAAGTTTTATTGCTACTAGTTAATTAATCCGTTTTCATTGTTTTGATGCAGGTTCATAATAATGAATTCATAATTGAAAGAAAGTCCTTTCCTTCGATGGGATAGTGAGCCAAAAGTAGTTGATGTGTTTGAACACGTTCGTACTGTTGATAAAGTGTTAGTAAATGTAGCGCCTATATTAAACAAACTTTAGTTAAATGGAATTGTTTGTTTGAAACACCATAACATACGGTGGAAAAGTCATGAAAATGATGTCAAAGTCTGTTAGACCGTATTGCCGACTTCTAAACCAATCAAACTTGTTTTTGTTGGAAAGAGCAAAGTCTGAACTACAAATTTTGTATCAGACATATTTTTCCAGAACAAATCTGAGAAGGAGGAAAAGTCAAAAACCAAGCACCTCTGAAAAAGTTCTTGCAACGTGTTTGCAACTTGAAAAGTTTGTATTTCTCAATTATTTCGAGCTCCATGTATCAAACTTGAACAAAAACTACACCAGAATGTAGCAGATCAAAAACTATCGATATCAACATTGGTAAAAGTTTTAGATCCGTTCTTGACTCTTTAATCAAAAACGTTTTAAACATGAATTTTTTAGTAAAATCGAGTCTTTTGCAAAACTAGCACTTTGCAAGAAAATCAGCCATCATCTTCAGAAATTATGTATGAACTGAATTCTTTTTGCGTTATTTGTTAGAAATATGTCCGATCGTAGAAATTTTGCAAAAAAATTAATTCAAAGAAGATTTTTTATCGTTGCAAAACGGCCAAGTAGTAAGAACGACCAACTTATTTAGTCTCTTTCAGAAAAAGCTGTATTTTGGTACAAAAATCAAGAGTGAATTTAATTTCCAATCTACCATTGGAAAGAGCGCCCTTTATGCTAAAAAAATCATCATTTAACGTGTTTTCTCATTTCTCTTTTGATAAAAAAAAAAAACTAATAAAAAAATAGAAAATGATGTTGCTCCATAGCGAAGTTGCAAGGGCTTTTTCAGAGGTGTTTGGTTTTTGACTTTTCCTCCTTCTCAGATTTGTTTTGGAAAAATATGTCTGATACAAAATTTGTAGTTCAGACTTTGCTCTTTCCAACAAAACAACAAAAAGTTTGATTAATTTAGAAGTCGGCAATACGGTCTAACAGAGTTTGATATTATTGCCATGACTTTTGCACCACATGTTACGATAGATCAAGGATCCAAACCATTTTTTAGAAGACACTTTGGACGATCATCATGGATAGAAAAGAAATATATCGCTATTTCATATTGTGATGATATGAATCGATGATCCAAAATCTGTTTCATAATCCTATCCAGAAAAGATTTTTAAACTTATTTTTTATAGATCGACGTCTCTCGATATGCTTTGCAAGTTACCAAAAATCGAGAGTTTCTAAGTTCCAGTGTTCAAAAGTTATTTGAAAATTATCCGTAAACAATATTATCGCGATAGCAATACTAATCCAGTTAAGTTCAGCCTACATCATTGGTTTTGGTACATGTTTTAGGATGATGTTCAAAATTTTATTAAAATATTTTTTCCAAATAAAAAGCAAATTATTCAGAACATATTGAATAGTGATAATGAGCGTATTTTATGTACAGCAAATGGAACAACAATTCCACAACCACCTATCTTTCTAATGACCATAAACAATCTTAGTGAACTTGTTAAGAATCCCGTATTTAAAAAATTATGCGATGTTGTTATGACCGAATATAAACCTTTGGTAAGTATAGATCATTTATTGTTTTATTTAGAATTGTTTTTACTTTTGCATTAGGTTTTACATTCTCGACAAATGTTTTACCGATTAAATGCCCCTCGATTAATCGAACGGTTAAATAATAATCCCAATATTGACAAAATAAAATGTTTTTTCTATGCTGGGATAAATTTACCATTAAGAAATACAATGGTAGATCAAACAAACATGTTAATAAATCAGGATGATAACGATGATAAATGTGATTATAAAGAATAAAGTAATATCAATTCGACTATATCCACGAACAAGTGCATATTGATTAGAGTTCCGAAAATATCCAATGAACTTCTTGTTATTATCGTATCTGCGCGCGTGAGTACTCGTTTTGCTTTTTTCAACGCTTACCATTTTCCTTCGCTTATTGAAGAGTGGTATTGTATTCAATTGGGATTATATGAATGAAACGTTTGTAATTTTGCTAACGAATATTTTTGGTTTATAGTGAACGCACAAGTTTGGAATATTCAAATTCTAGTCATCTAATGGTAAATACAAATTATGTGCATGAGTAACAATCAAAATATTTTGTTATAAAAAAATAGTTTCTTGTTTTTTTTTCACCTATTTTTATACACGACTTTTTCTGTTAAAATTTATTTTTTATAACAATGAATTTGTTTTGATAAATCCATTATATATAAACAAAAAGTAACAATATGTCAGAAAAAATTCAGTCAAGAGTAGATAAATATGAAATAGAAGTAAATCGAAAGTGTTTTTATAAAAGTTTGAGAACTATCTTGATTTTCAATGTATGCTTTTTATCTCAAAAACTCTTGGAAAACCAAGAAGATTTCATACGAAAGTTAACCAGAAAGAAGAAAATATTATTAAAGCAGCAAAAGCTTTCCAACCTGTTATTGAGAGTCGACATCTATGTCTGCTCTTTGTGTGTGAAACTATTGTTGTTGTTTAACCTTATTGATAGTGACAGAATTATTATATCATAAAAATACTAATTATCTAATAAAAACATGAAAAATAATCATATTTTAGTATATTAATATAATATGTCATTCTGCAACATTATCCATACTGGTGTCGCGTATAAAACAAATATCATGAACTACATTATGACGTCTTTGGTATTGTTAGTACCAAAGATGGCATTAGTACTATGATATGAGTATCATGCAATACATCTGAGCAACGAGAGACTAAATGTTAGAGAAATCCTACACGTATAATATGATTACAAAAATAAGTAGGACAAAATCTTGGATTAGACAGATCGTACTTGTATGGCACGATGACCTCTTACTATCAGTGAGAAGATATGTTTCTAATAGAGTGAAGTTGCTAGAATACGTGCGAATCTTTGAAATTCGCTCGAATGCTCGTTGAAGATGTTTTTTTCTGTACAAGATTTTATTTTCTTGTTCTCAAAGAAGTTTTAGACAAGAAAAAATAGTAAATAACAAAGTTGAAATTAAAAAGATTCGTCTATACTATATTCATAACTCTCGCTTTCACTCGATCCATGTTCTTCGTCGAAGCAATCGTTAAATAATTTTGTGTGACAAAAATCTGGCTTAACCCATTGAAGTTCAGAACAGATAGTCATCAGGTTTGTGAATGGATTTTCTTGAGAACTCACAGTAGCTGGATCTATTATTAACAATACTTGATCAACTTTCATCGTATGAACAGTTTTTGTCACGGAACGCCCAATTAAAGCTGATTTTCGTTTTGGTCGAAGATTTCTTTTATCGATTTTTGCTATTGTATAATGATATTCAAGTAGATCAATAAAAGCGGATTCATTGAAAGGGCTAGGATTTAAACGCAGGAGCGACATGGGTTCGTCACACGAAATATCGAATCGTAAAAAATCTAACTGGATTCTCCATGGACGAAGATCAGACGATAATTCACAGTTAATTGATCTTCCAACCTTGCTTGTTATCTTCAATGTTTTCGTTGAAACAATTCCTACTCCGGCGCCGCCTTCAGTAGACCAAAGATATTCAGTTGATGGAAATAAATCACATAAATCGTTTATTGATGATGGTAGTGGCAACAATAATGTTGTACATCCGTCATCAAATGCACATAGTGCGATTTGTAAGCCACCAAATGAATTTTGAGATGATGGAATAACAAATCTGCCACGTGGATTTAATATAATCCCCTTATTATTGTCAACGAACGCTTTATCTAACTGATAATCGATCGAATCATACGGCAAATATGTTGACGTATTTATTAAATCAGTATTATTATTATTATTGTTCATCATTTTTCTCGAACTAAGTGCGGCAACCGTCTTTCTCAAACTAACACCATGATAATTATTCGAATTAATCGTACTAATACTATTTGTATTTTTTGTACTTTTTTCTAATGTCGGATGCAAACTTGTTTTGCCACTGTCAAGTAGTAGACATGTCCATTGTTTCTGATGATCAAGAATGATCGATGTCGATGATGGAGAATGAAATATTGCAGAGAAGTTTTGTTGTTGTTGGTTATCATTATCCAAATCACTTTTAGTACTATTCGCAATATGAATGTCAATGGGAACGTTATTTTTACTTATTCGAGGTGTAGGCACTGTATAATTCACAGATGTTGAACTTAAACTAGGTGAACGATGATAAGTGGTTAGGAGCGGCCTGGTCACAGAGACACCATGAGCACTCGAAGAGGATCGTGATAAATCGTTGCTTTCATAGCAACTATCTTCAGAATTGATTCCCGTACCAAGGATGTCGTCATACCGCTTGTTACTACCTTTTGATGTATTACAATCACCACTGATGTTTCCATTATCATATAATTGGATAATTGTCATTAATATCCAATAAAATAATTTTAAGATATTTTTGAGTTAACATTGATGGACCAGTTGCTTGAAAGAGGAAAACAGATATTGAAAAGATTTAATAGAATAGAATCTTTGATTTAAATCCAAACCGCTCACGTCGAAATTTATGGAATCAAGTCTGTCTTCTATTGAAAATTAAAACAGATTTGGTATTTATCGATAATCTAACAAGATTTCAACAATGGACGATGACATTTACCGAAATGAAGTCTTTCTCAAAGATGTTAAACTTTACTATTGAGACGGGCATATACATTACCGTAAAATGTTTAGATTAAATTAATGGTTTCTCATGAGAAAACAGTCAAATACACGACACTTAATCGGCATACTGACGAGATAAATTTCCTAAATTTTTTGGAAGAACTAATATTTATGAACAAATTAATTGTGATCAAGTTGATCACACTTATCAACATAAAACACACAAAAATAAAATTTAGGCAACTCATAATCATTTTTTTAACGCTTTCAGGCCTTCTTGTCACGATCTGACAGTTTTCTGTTAGCAAGCTTTTACTTAATATGTAGTTCTTTTGAACGTTTTATCATAAATTCTTTCTATTGTTCACTAGTATTCTCTGAACTAAAATTCTCTCCATGCATAATGATACATTTTTATCGTATCAACTAACCCATTGTTTTTTCTTAAATGATCTAGTTCTTCAAAACATGTTTTTACTCCATCAAACTGAGCTGTTCTCGGACCAATAGCTTGTAAATTCCCTATATCTTTGATATGATTGTCATGCAGAAAAATATTCATCTCTGTACTTTTAGCATTCGTTCTCGAATTTCAGCATTTGATACAGTACGAGGCTGTTTTGAAGTCATGGTTAATGGATAATGTCGGCGACTTTTTGATTGGCCACTGTTTAATTTAATTCGTTTCGAGGATTTACGATACTTTATTAAAATTCAATATAGTTCTGCTCAAAATCTCGAAAATAAGTTAGCAAAAACAAATAATCTAATATACAAAAAAAACAATATTTATAAAGATGCGTAAAATCCTACAAAATAATCGGACAAAAATGATTCTGTTTTCGCTACAAATCTTAGTTGAAAAAACTTGTGACACTTTGTTCATCAGACTTTCTAATCATTTTAGCCGATTGTATTAAAAGAAATATCTAGCAGTACATCTTATGCCACTCGATTTAGAGCGTAGCAATTTCTTGAACAGATTCTTTTTGTTTCTTTTGTTCGTAGTTTACTTCTGTTTATTTAATGAATTCCAGTTACTCTAATTTAATTTTTATGTGTTGTTCTCTGTTATGCTGATGTGATAGATAATTCAGTTTCTCCTTTGGTGTCTGATGTTTGGCATAGTAAGTCTAACAGGAAAAACTCCAAATTTTTTAACTGCATCACGCAGTTTTAAAGTGCAAACTGCTCTCTTTTTTTAAGTGCTGGTAACGAGTACAAAAGCATCTGAAATAATTTTATTACAGTCAAATGGTGAAGAATTTTATTCTACAAAAGCGTTTACACTGTAAAAAATAGTCGTAGATTAATAAACTATCAAAAAGGGTTCATTGAGACCAATAAACCTGTTAAAAAACGCTTTTCCGTTTTTTATATCCAAAAAACTAAAAAGCGTTCGTGACAGATGCAAAATGAAAAACCAGCGATTTTTTATC